TTCATTTTTTATTTCAAATAAATTGGTATATATGTATATTTAATCTTATATAAAATGTTAATTACTCAAATAATAAAAATATATTTTATTTATTTTTATTTAACATAATTTAACCATATATGGTGTAGACCATATATGGTTTAGGGCATAAACAAAATAAATAAATTGTAGCGTCGATGAATAGTGTTGCGCCACATGTGGCGCAACACTAAGTATGCCACTTGCCAACATTAGAAGCTTAGTCATACAATTAATAGGTTAGTCATCACTTACCATCTTAATTAATGACACCTCATACTTAAAAAAAAAATAAGATAAAATGGAGACAAATCTCCATTAAATGCCCCTCTAAGATGCACACGGCTTTTAGGAAAAGAAATTGACAAATTTTTTACATGACTTGTAAAGAAAATGCTCACGGCATTTTAATGAGTTAAGCTTGATTAACTCGTAATTAAGCACCATCATATGCTTAGTTATTTAACTAACCATGATACTTAATTATCAAAATTATTCCGAACGTAAACGTGACTTCGAAATATTTTTGGATATTCCTGACTTGGACGATTAATCCGAATATTGATATTTCGATTAATTCGTCAACTTAACTTATTAATTCTGAACTCATTAAATAAAGAAGCGAATCAGAATTAAATCTGGAAACTTATCCGGTTACTGAAATAATTAACCGAATAATTTATCGACTAACAGTCGGACTTGGAGTATAACTAACTGAATAACTTGAACTTAAAGATGAACATGATTATTTATTAACAAAGGCTAGCTTAAAATTAGAAGCTAGTATTTTCTGTTGTTAAACGATTTTGTAACAACAAAAATGTACACCCCTATTCCGTGAATAGGGGGTGTAGGATTTATATGGAGTTGTAGTGATTTTTTGGTAGGATGTTTGTGTATTGTTTTGTGTGTATTGACTGAAAGAAAAGCAAAGAATTCTGTAGTGTCAAATTGAGATAATAAAAATATGATGGATGAATGTTTCTGAAGGGAGCCAACCAAAAAAGGGGAATCCCCCATTATGATATTATGATGATGCAGCTCCCTCTTTTTTCTGGCGGTGCCGCCTCCTTTTGTACAGATAAAGGAGAAATAAAAGTCCCCCCATCCTTATCCTTTAGTCCCTATTTATATCCAGACTAATACCGGTCTGTATATCTAATAGGCTTTTACGATAAAATATGACCGCGCAGGGTCCAATAATAAAGATGACCACGCAGGGCCCAATAATTAAATATGACCACGCAGGGCCCAATAATTAAATATGACCGCGCAGGGCCCAAAAATAAATAATAGCTCCGACTGATATTTGTCTTGTCAGCAATTGACGTGTCTGTATAAGCGGCTTCTTTGTGATATCAGGGTTGAGCTGGCGGTCTTTTGGATGTGGACCTCGTCTTGTGCGAACTCGGTCAATATAAATCAGATAAAAGAACCTACTATTTATATTTATTTAATATATATATCCACGCGTAATATTTTAATAGACGAGGCCAATATTAGGTAACAACATTTTCCTTTATTAATAAAATTCGGGGTGTTACAATCCACCCTCCTTAAAATATTTTCGTCCTCGGAAATACTAAAACTGCATGTATAAGCTTAGCTCGAAGCTTATACTTACTTGCTGATAGAATTCAACAATGACTACTGAACATTAGACTTTGATCTGAACTGAGGAATCATCAATTCACAATTAAGTGAATTGTTAATTACTGCTAACTAAGAATGGACACTCTCCTGAAATAAAGTGTTCCACTGATTATACATGATATTAAAAACATAATTCTTGAGCATATTGGTCCTTATTTCTTGGCTGATTGCTGATCTTCGGTCTGAACGTTAGTTGTGGAAAACCCCAGTCGTTGGTACACACGGAAGATTCCAGAGATACGCATGTGTACAAATGAGGATAACTAGCAATATCGGTAGTTACCTTTCATGAACGTCTGCTCGATAACGCGGCACATAGTTTGCGGCACATTGTATTGCGGCATACCCGCTCCTCATCAAGTGAGTGCGGCACGTCTGCATAAAGCACCTAGTGAACATTGCACCTGCGTCGTCGACGTAGTCTGATCGTATCTGTATCTCAAGCTAGTAACCTCAATGTACTATAATGCTAACTCTCTGTAATCTCCTGTGTACTGTAACTCAGACATGGCATCCTTCTTTTCTTGCGTCATGCATCCTTGAATGAAAAGCTTCAGTTGGTCATCATGGCATGGTCTGTTGCTATTGATTGACCCTTCTTCGTTGCGTTGTATGTCAACATGTGATACCTGCAACTGTTTTCCTTCCCTGAGGTCAAACTTAACCTCAAGAAAAGTCTATCATGAATTAATATCTCCTACGATTTCTCAAATTTTTTTCAGGACTTGAGCATCGAGGCACTAATTATACTTGAAATGACTGATATGTCTTGTCTTATTAGACAAGCTATCTTTGACTTTAGCATAACTAGCCTGAATATTTTCATAACTGGATAACCATGACTTGACTTTAACATGACTGAATCATCTTTACTTGAACTCTGAAAGCTATCCCGAGACAACTAAATAGTCGCCTCGGAATTTGGAACATGACATTTACTGATTTACTTGACTTGATAAGGTGCGACTTCAAGTTTCCAGGTAGAATTAGATTAATAGTCTGTATTGCAGACCTCCATATTTAACCCGGCTGAATAACTATTATACGTCGACCTTAAATCATAAACATTAAGTTTAAATCTTGAACATTAATTCATGACTATGTACTGTATAGGGCTGTTCCAGTATCAACTGGTCCCACAAGTACAAAGGAATTAGCTGATCTTGATCTTTGAAAACCATAACTTGAAGTATCCTGACTGACAAAATACTTGACATAACTGACATTAAAGGTTGTTATCACATGAAATCACATTGCTCCGGTCCCAGCTTCAAGCCACCATGGTATACCCGGCTGAGTGGCTCTTATTTCAAGCCTCCATGGTAACCCGGACTATTGAATCTTATACACTGGAAACAGATACCTTAACAATGACTTGAGAATTATAACAACCTTAAGTAAGAAAATTTTATCCTGAACTTGATTTACTGATCTGACCTAGGAAACTTGAGTCTATTCCCTGATCTAACTCAAGGAATTCCTCCTTGGAATGTGCCAACAGATTGGCAAAATGGGCAATTTTCAATAGAAAATATCTGAGGAACATGATTGCTAAGATTTGTATAACATAAGTGCTTACAAATCTCTTGACGAGTCGTAAACTCGACCTGAATAAATTAGAATTTAATCTAGAGTTCTCAAATTTAGCTCCTTTCTAAGGTT